AAAAAAAAAGATTGGGCTTTGGAGTCACATCTGAGATAKAAGTACAGTAGTTAACCCTTTTAGCTTCAGTTTTGTTTTCCATGGTTTTRGTTAACTGTGGTCAACTGCAGTCCAAAAATAATAGTTGTCAAATTCTGGATATAAAMAATTTGTAAGTTTTAAGTTTCACATTATTCTGGCTCATGTGATAAATCTTGTGCCATCCTACTGCATCCCTTTGTCGTGTGTATTCACATTGTATAAACTACCTGTCTTAGTCATTCAATAGCCTTCTGGGTTATCAGATTGAATATTCTGATCACACATTTGTATTAGGGTTCTCCAAAGAGAGAACCAACAGGATATGCATATAGATGTACAGAGGAGATTTCTTAGGATAATTGACTCATGATGTATGGCATCTGAGAAGTTTTATATTAGGCTATCTAAAAACCAGAGAAGCTGGTTTAACTCCTAAAAGGCTAAAAGTCTGGGAACCTAGGGGTAGAGAGTTGCTGGGATAAGTTCTGAACTCCAGAGGTGGAAAAGCTTGGAATTGTGATATCCAAGGCAGGAGAAGAGTCTATCCCAGTTCTTGGGTACAGGGACTAATTCACTTTCTGTATTTATCTATCTTGGCCTCCAGCCAGTAGGATGGTGCTCATCTACAATGAAGGAAGATCTTCACTTTGTTCACCCAGACTCACATGSTAATCTCTTATGAAAACACCCTTAGTCTATATGTATTCCTTAATCCAGTCAGGTTGCCTAAAATTAACTATCAAAGCGGTGATGCAATGCATCAGGACATAGGAAAAAATAGTATATATAGAATTTGGTATTATCTGTAATTTGAGGCATCCACCTTGGCAGGGAGGATGACTACTGTACTAGATTTTTAAATTCTAGCTGTGACCCTGACCAAATCAATTAACTTTTCAGTGTGAGACTAGTTGGAAGGATAATAAGATATTAAAAACTTTAATCATAAGTTTTGGTACTGTATTTAGTAGGCCTTAAAAAAAGTGTGTGTGTGTGTGTGTATAATAAACGCTAGGCATTGAAAATGCTGGGGAAAATGCAAAAATGCCTGGAAGGTATCTGCAGGTTATAGAATTATACTTTTATATTATATGATTTTAAAATTCATTGTCAGCATTTTCCAATTAACAATTTAAAACAGCTGACAAACAGGTTGGGAGAATAGCTGTATTAAAATTATCTGGTCTATTTTTAATATTTTATTTTTTTTAATTACAGAGAAAAGTTATACCTTAGTATCAGGTATTAATTTTCTTCAGAATTCAGGCAATTAATGTTATCTCATCTTGTCATGGAATGACTCTGGGTTCTGATGTTAATCCGTGGTGTTCAAGAAATGGTAGTATCATAAAGAGGTCATAACGAATTCTTTTTAGTATTGAAGTGGTTTTGCTTACAGTCCAGGAAAAAAACTAGATTATGCTGCTTTACTTCTATGATTTCTTTTATAGTTGTTTTCTAAATGGTAGTTTTGACCCTCTGTGGGAAGCCATTCTTGCACGTGATTGGGCACCTCCCTGATTGGGTGTGAGGTGTTCTGGCTAAACTATTTAGGAACTAATCCCCATCCTCTCTAGGTGCCCATCCATGTGGGGGTGTGACTGACCATTGACCCTGAGACCAATCACTGACCCTGACTTTGGAATGCCGTCCCCCTCTACCTTCATTGGAAGGAATTTTCCCCTGAATTTCTTGTTCCCCAATAAAAGGCCACGCCCTGGTGTGCTCTTTTTCTCTCTCTCCTGCTAGTCTGTGTAAACCTTGCTGCCCCACCGGGTGGCACCGGGTGGCACTGGGTGGCACGAGGCAGGAGCCAGAGGGGAGAGCTGTCTCACACCTGGTCAAAGAAAAAAGGTAAATTGAGTTTGTGTGTTTATTTTGATCTCACTAGTTTACTTCTATGCTTTGAACCTCTGGTCGTGCGGTGGAACCCTCAGTCTCCTTAAAATTGTTCTTGCTGCATTTCTCTCTCTCTCTCTCTCTCTCTCATATATATATTTTAACCTTTGGTTTTAATACTGTACTAGGGATTGAATCTAGGCATGCTTACACAACAATCATTCTACCACTGAACTACATCCCCAGCTTTTTTTTTTTTTTTTTTTGTAGACAGTGTCTCCCTTACTTTCCTGGGCAGGTCTCAAATTTGTGGTCCTCCTGCTTTAGCTTCCCAAGTAGCTGAGATTACTGGTGTCTGCCAGTATGCCCTGCTTCAATATATTTTTTCGTTTCCCAAGCCTCAAGCCTCTGTGGATGACTCCTAAATATAACTTCTGCTTGCTCTATATTCATACTGCCAATAAATTCTCTCCCTGAAGATTCAAATTGAAGATGTTCAGAATGCATATTATTTTGTTAATGGCCACTCTTCTGTTAGCTGAAATTGAAATCTGTACAACTAAGATTATCTTCTTAGTCAATAAAGCCTACAGTTCTTTTTCTGAATTGTTCATAATATCCAACTTCCACTTTATCTTCATTCTTTTTTTTAATTTATTTTTTAGTTGTATACAATACCTTTACTTTGTTTATTTATTTATTTAAAATATTTTTAAAGTTATTGATGGATCTTTATTTTAAGTATTTGTATGTGGTGCTGAGAATCAAACTCAGTGCCTCACAAATGCTAGGCAAGCGCTCTACCACTGAGCCACAACCCCAGCCCTGTTTATTTATTTTTATGCGGTGCTGAGGATTGAACCCAGGTCCTCACAAATGCTAGGCAAGTGCTCTACCGCTGAGCCACAACCCCAGCCCTTTATCTTCATTCTTACTGTGCTAATTTAGATATCATTTCTCATCTAGATTATACTTTTCTCCTATGTGACTATAGTATTTTTATATATGTTATAAGTAATAAATGTTTAACATATTAAAAGTATAAAAATGCCTGTTCTCCAAAAATAATGTACAATTTCTTCAACCATTTCTACATGTACTTAGATTTTTACAAAATTATTTTTGTTTTACAAAACAGGTTGATAAACATACATTGTACTGCAGCTATTTTTAGTTTCTTCCCCCCCCCCCCACCTCCATGGAGCCAGGCAGAATACTGGGGATTGAACCCAGGGGTTCTTTACCACTGAGCTACATCCCCAAGTCCTTTTAACTTTTTATTTTGAGACATGGTCTGAGTTGCTCAGAGCCTCACACTTGTGATCCTACTGCCTCAGTCTCCCAAATTGCTGGGATTACAAGTGTAAACCATCACACTTGGCTAATTTCTTTTTCATTGTAAATGTCTTTATCATGTCACATATCACACATCTACCATTCTTTTTAACAACTGTTAAATGGATGTACCATGATTTTGATTAGTTCCTTGTTGAGAGACATTTAAACTATGTAACAAGTTATACAGTAGCAGTTAGGAGATTTATGTTGTGGAGAGGGGACCACAGCCAGCCTTTAGGGACTCTGACAGAACAGGTAACAGGCTCCCCAACCCCAGTGCTTGGCAGATGAACTTTAAAGCCTTCTGACTACTAATTTTTTTCTTTGCTCAATTTAGCTAGAATCAGACTTCATGCTTATAACCTAAGGGCCCTAATTTTCCAGGTTTTTCTAAATTTTCATTATTTTGAACTAGTGCAATAAATCCTTAAACATTTTTTAATTTCTTGGGCAAGTATATAACTTATTTTAGTGTTTATCATGTATTTTAGWTTGTCTTATTTGTCTGCCGTACTGTCCTTTAGGAGCAATAACCACTTCTCATTAATCTTGGAATCCCAAGTACTGTACTGTTTCACAATTAAAAAAAATATATATATATATGTAAAATATACATACATACACTGGGGATTTAACTCGGGGATGCTTTACCAATGAGCTATATCCCCATACCTTTTTTTTTTTTTTTTTGAGACAGGTTGTCACTAAGTAGCCTAAGGCCTTGCTAAATTGCTGAGGCTAGCCTCAAACTTGTGATCCACCTGTCTGTGCCTCCGAGCTATTAGGATTACAGGCCTGGGATACGGCCCCTTGGTGCTCAAAAAAATTGTAAAATTGAAGTAAAATTCACATAACAATTAAAAAATGGAAAGTGGATCTTTTAGTATAGCGTTGAGCAACCATCACTTTTTATTTTTAGTGAAAGCATTTTCATTCCCAGATTAATCATATCTTGTCTGTGGATCATGCCATTGAAAACCTTGTTGTTGTCTACTACTTTAAATCTGAACGTGTGGTATTCTAGGTTTTTTTTTTTTAATTTGTCCACTTATTTCGTGGACAATAACTTTATTTATTTATTTATTTTTAATGTGGTGCTGAGGATCGAACCCAGTGCCTCACAAGGTAGGCAAGCACTCCACCACTGAACCACAACCCTAACCCATATTCAAGGTTATTAATTCCCTACATGCATACTCTAAATTGTGGTACTAATAAATAGCTGTTTGCAATAAACCGGAAAGGAAAAATGAGGTTCAAGGTAGGAATTTTATGTATGTACATTGACTCACAACTTAAATTTCTACAATACACGTGTCTCTTCTGGCAGGAAAATGTAGAAAGTAGATCCCTCGAATAGGAAAGGTGAATACAGCTGAGATCCTTTTCAGTAGTTACAGGGCGACAGCTCAACTCAATTGGCAAGAAAGGAAGTCTGGGCTGTTTGGTCAGGTGTCTTCATTCGTGGTCTGTCCTCCAACCAGCGAAATGAGAAACACCTCTCCAGTATTCACAAACTGGAGCTTTGTCAATTCCACTGGGCTAGGTGGAAAGGTAGTCTTTGAATCGGGCTTCCTCTCAGAGAAAGAACTACTAACCAGGAATTCTCYATTCGAGGATTTCTAAAGGTGTTGACCACAGACCATCTGCAGCGGGTCACCGCGAGTGGTTCCTGAAAATGCCGATTTCCTTACCCACCCAACAATCTAGTAGGAGTCAGAATACCTAGGGGTATGGCTTTGAAGTCAGCGTTTTCCACAATCACCCCAGGTGGCTCTAGTTTTTGGCGCGCTAACTTTTGAGGCTGGTGCGGCACCGCCCCTCTGAAGCCGGGCGGAGCCAGGCGAAGCTACGAGTTAAGGCGACGGGCGCCAGCTTGCGGCCCAAGGCATGCAACCCTGCGGCGGCTACTAGTCAAGTCTCGTGTACGCACCCGCACCGCGGGAACTACGCGCCCGCTTCTCCTCCTCTCCCGTTCTGGGCGCATGCGTACGGCGTCTGCCCCGGCTGCCGCGCTCTAGCTGCCCTGGTTACCGTTGGTGTTTGCGAATTCTCTGCGGCGCCTTCTTCGCCTGTGACCAGCGCCCTSCGGGGTCCAGTGGCAGTTCAGATACGCTCGCGCCCTCGTCACGTGGGCCGAGGCGCTCTTGCTGTCCCTCGCTGGCGGGTGAGGCGGGAGGAAGGAGCTCTGGCCACCGCTCGCTCTACCTCTGTTCCCCAAGGCGGGCTCGCGGATAAAAATGGCGAAATGGGGGTAGCCCGTACAGAACCTGAAGCTATGGGGCGCGCAGGTTGGGCAGTTGTCGGAGCCCCCTGACTCGGGCCCAGGCTGTTCTTGCTGATTTGACCTGGCGACCTCGGGCCAGCGCCTAACAGGGCAAACCACGGACTCCGCGGGTCGCCGGGGGCCCCGCCGAGAGCCGGAGGCAATGGATGAACAGAGTGTGGAGGTGAGGGGGGGTTGTGGAGGGTGGTGGTTAGTCTCCCCCGCCACCTTGTGAGCGTTTTTTATTCGGGGCGCCATTCCCTCGACATCCTTCTGGTAGGCGTCCCCCTACCCCTTGCGGTGGTTGCCGCTGCGTGGAGCGCTGGCCCGGTGCTCGTTCTGCAACCCTTTGGGTTTCTCCTACTCAAGACTGTTCCGCAGTCAGGTGCTGCGTATTCTGGTGTTTTCAGGATATCTCGGCCCCTGTACTTATCGCCACCGAGTATTTGCAAAATACAACCTGTGCAGAACAAAACTGCAAATTCATCAGATAGACGTGCCTTGCTACTCGCCACTACTACTTGTACTGGAGAGCGCATCCACATCTCGCTCCGAATGGATAATCATTTTTCCCTCCCTGTGTTAGATTTCGCAGGCTTCTGCCTTTCCTAGATTGAGATATACATTATATATTTCCTACTGTCTTATTTGACCGTAGCATCTAGAACAGACTTTCACATCTGATTCTTGTAAGCTGTGATTTCACATGGTTGGGATATTTTCATAAGTCCTCRTGGGCACAATTACCATGGGCATAATTACATAATGATTGCCTAATTTTGAACCTTTCAAATACTGAAATAAGAAATCCTTGCTTCTTGATAAGGGTAACTGTATTTTGGACCCCTCCAGTTCTTCTAGTGATCTTTTTGACCACCCCCAGTGAGCTAAAAGTCTGCATCTTACAAGTTCTATTCCTGCATTTATGATTAAACTCATGAGTAATTTTCTCCTTAATTCCCCAAGTGAAAGTATTATAAAAGTTTTGTAAAATTTCCTTGTTTTAGGAGAGTTTAATTCTTCCGAAATGGAATAAAATTAAATGTCAGTCCTGTCAAACAAACAAAAAAAACCCATTTTATGCGTTTCCTTGTTTTGTCAGTTGCTTCCTAAATTATTCAACTGAGGTTTGCAAAGATAATAGCGTTCAATTTACAAGTTGTTTTTTTCTAAGGCCCCAAATAATTGCCACCATAATTTTTAGTAGGGGGTAGATTCTCAGTCTTAAATATTAGTTGGTCACAGTGTCAGGACAGAAAATCATATTTCTGGATTATGAATTTGTTTATTTCTGGATCAAAATACACTGCCAATGGGATTCATGTTTTTCTAAAATGTTTTCCTTTTTTTTGGCACTGGAGATTGAACCCAGGGGCATTTTATCACTGAGCTACATCCCCAGCCCCTTATACATTTTTTTTTTTTTTTTTTTTTTTGGAGACAGAATCTCTCTAAGCTGCTTAGGGTTTCACTAAATTGCCAAGACTGGCCTTGAACTTGCAATCCTCCTCCTTCAGCCTCAGGAGTCACTGGGATTACAGACCTGCACCACTGTGCTTGTTAGTGTTTGTCTTCTTAATTATAAAAGCAATTTCCCTTTGGGGAAACTGCAGAAAAAATAAACAGTTCATATTGTACATTATATTAGTCACACAGACTGCTTTTTTTTTTTTTTAGCATGATAGATCATAAGCATTTTTTCTGTATCATTAAATCAAACACACTTGTTTTTCTTTTTGCAGTACTAGGGATTTAAACTAGGGTCTAGCACATGCTAGGCAAGTGCTGTACCCCTGAGCCACATACTGCATTCTCCCTTACTCCTGTATTTTTTTTTTTTTTAATTTATTTTGTGGTACTGGGGGTTAAACCTCCGGGGACTCTACTGCTGAGCTATATTCCTTATCCCTTTTTTGAGAGGGTCTTGCTAAATTGTCCAGTCTGGCCTTGAACTTTTGATTCTTGTGTCTCAGMCTCCTAAGAAGCTGGGTGGACCACCATGTCCATTAGTCAAGAAATATTTTTAGTGACTCTGTCCTATAATTACTATAATTTACTTAATATTTGGACACTGGGGCTATAGCTAGATTCTTGCCATTATTATTAATCTTTCGTTGAAAACATTTTTAGATAATCTTTGCATTTCATACATTTTCCTTAGAACAGATTCATTGTCAAGCTTAAAAAAAACCCACAAAAACCACAATCCCCCGACCCCCAATTTCCAGGAGATATTCTGAGGCACCCTGAGCCTTGACTAGCTAATTTCTGATTGGGAATATAGTTAAAACTGAGGTGTTAGCCCAGAATAAATGTAAATGTTCAGTGAATTATTTTTAGCATGTTTTGAACTTTTGATTCAGTAGGCTTATCTTGGGACTTTATGTCTTTTTTTATTATTTTAAGAGCATTGCTGAGGTTTTCCGATGCTTCATTTGTATGGAAAAATTGCGGGATGCTCGCCTGTGTCCTCATTGCTCCAAGCTTTGTTGTTTCAGCTGTATTAGGGTAAGTTGTATTTCTTTTTAAATGCGTTCAGTTTATGTATGATCTTCTGTAGGGATCAACCATTTCCATGTTTTTTTTTTTCTTATTTTACATTTTGAGTCCTTTTAAAAAATGTCTTTTAAATGAAGATTCTTTAATATACCGCCAATTTGTATGGAGATAAATAGTGCTTCTGGAAATAAAGTTCACTGTAATTTTAATATATTTAAATTATTAACTTCTCTATACATTTAACAAATACTTGTAAAATGTTTACCTGCATTATGTTTGGGGTTGAGGAATACTAAGATAAATGACAAAGTGCCTTTTTTGCAAGAGCTTAAATCTGAGAGAATCACATTATAATCTTACAAGAGACCATAGAGATGGATATAATCTAGTGGTTTTAAAATTGAATACAAGCTGAGTGCAGTGGTGCACACCTATAATTCCAGTGACTCTGGAGGCTGAGGCATGAGGATCACAAGTTCAAGGCTACCACCACAATTTAATGAGAACCTGTCTCAAAATAAGAAGGTAGCATAGTACCAAGGCGGGGGTGGGGGGTGGGGGTAACTATCACTTGAATACAAGGGAATCCCTTAAAATTGTGGGAAAGCTCAAGATATAAAACAGAAGAACTTATTTTGATTGTGGGGATGCAGGAAGACATTTGCAGAGCACAGTTGAAAAATGTCTTGCTCACATTACTCTTTGAGATATTCCTTTACTGAGAAAATCAAAGCCTTCTAATGTGCTCTTCACCTGAAAATTTGTTTCCTTATTCTTGCCTAAAAAAGATAAATATCCCTTTGTCAAGAATAATATTTGTACCACTTCAATAATTCTTCCAGTCACACATACAGCAAATGTTGGACCTAGGTTTGAACCCAATAAGACTTTAGAGTCTGTCCTTTGCCTCTACACCATGTGCTTCTAGTAGAGCTAGGTTACAACATATGATGTTCTCACACTGATAAAAGGAGAGAATTAAATCTGTTAGCCTTGTTTCCTCAGCTATAGGATTCAGATAACACAATCTGCCTCACAGGGTGGTTAGGCATTAAATGGATAAAGCTAAAAGAAATTCAGAGATTATAAAGCATCATCCACTTGTAAGGTATTATATACTTCTGGTTGTTAAAACATCAACCAATACACATAGCATTTGTTTTATAAATAGTGGAACTGTAGCCTGAGAGGTTAAGTGATATACCTCCATCACCATAGCTCATTAATTGGTAGAGTGTAAATCTGGACTCAGTTCCTTTTAATGAAGGTCTTGTATGCTTATGATCTCTGATTATTAGTTTATACATCCTTGAATCTTTTTTTGTTACATTCCTTCTGTCTCTTAAGTGCCTTTTTTGGGGGGGTACTGGGATTTGAACCCAGGCTTGCTCTACTCTGAGATATACCCCTAGCCATTTTAATTTTTATTTTGAGATAGGGTCTGCTAAGTTGCTGAGACTTGCTTCAAACTTGCCTTAGCCTCCCAAGTTGCTGGAATTACAGGAATGCACATTCATTTCTTATATATTGATGCTGGCTTTCTCTATTCTGAGGTTTCTGGAAAAATGTGTCTACTTTGGGAAATGATTATTTTTTGCAGGTTTTTGTTATCCTCTGTATATGGGTCCTAGATCTATTCCTTCAGCTTTGACTTTTCCCCCCCTCCCTCAGTACTGGGGATTGAACCCAGGGATACTCTACCACTGAGTTACATCTCAATTCTTTTTTAATTTTTTTCTTCTGTAATCGGCTGTCTCAAATTTGTGATCCTCCTGTGTCCACCTCCCAAGGTGCTGGGATTATAGGTGTGCACCACCATGCCTGGCAAAAGTAAGTCTTGAGTAAGGGGAGGTTAGAGAGACCAATATAATCAGCATTTAGATCGTATTTAAAATGGAGAAACTAGATGGGAACACTCAAATTATCTCCTGTGGGAACAGAATTTAGGTCTGAACTCTGGGGCATTCTAACCATTTAGAGGTCAGGAGGAGGTGAGCAAAAGAGACCAAGCAAGAGCCTAATACTATTTAGTTGTGTTTTATGGTTCTGACTTGGGAATCAGTCATTGGATTTCAAAATGGATAGGTTATTGGTGACCTGGTGAAGACTTAGTGGAATAGTGAGGATGAAAACCTGATGGGAGAGAGTGGGAAGAGAAAAAGCAAACATAAAAAACTTTCAGGAGAGGCCACATGCAGTGGTGCATACCTATAATCCCAGTGRCTCAGGAGGCTCAGGCAGAGGATCGTGAATTCAAAGCCAGCCTCAGCAAAAGTGAGGCTCTAGGCAACTCAGTGAGACCCCTGTCTCTAAATAAAATACAAAATAGGGCTGGGGATGTGACTCAGTGTTTGAGTGCCCCCAAGTTCAATCCCCAGTACCAAAAAAACCTTTTAGGACAAATGTAATATAAGAAAAAAATAAGGCACTGTTGAAGGGGGATGTTGGTAGTCAGTGTTTTTGCTTAATTTGTATCTTGCTACCACTGAATCATTAGAGGAATTAACAACGCTGGAGGAAGTTGATTTAATGACTGGAGCAAGTGTTCACCAGATTGTAACCAACAGTGTTTCCTTTTCCCCCATTCCATCTTTGTTTATTGATCATGGAAATTTGACTGATGGTACAGATATTTGTGTCACTGAATAAAACAAAGGTCCATGCTCCCTCCTACCCCTGCCCCATACTAGGAATTGAACCCAGAGGCAGCCTACCACTGAGCCACACCATAGCCTTTTTTATTTTATTTTGAGCAGGTCTTGCTAAATTACTGAGGCTGGCTTGGAACTTGCCATCCTCCTCYCTCAGCCTTCTGAATTTCTAGGCATGTGTTTTATGTACAAGGTCCAGATTTAGGAATAGATGTGTCTAAAATCAGCCAGTAGTTTGGTGACAGACCAGGACTGTACTCATCTCCATGCCAGTGCTCAACCCATGGGTTGGTTTCCACATTAAAAGGTGGGAACATTAGATGTATTTTCAGCCAAGGTCTCTCTTACTCATCCAGCTATACCTGTTTTTTTTTCATGTTTTTCTATTTGTATCTTCTCTCTTTTTTTTTTTTTGATACCATCTTTCTGATCCAACTTTTTTTGACCCCCTTGATTTTTAGCATTGGTAGTATTGCTTATAATTATTGACTTCATTTTGTTTTTATTTTGCTAGTCATTTTTATTAGGTAGAATTGTTTAAAATATACATTTTGACGTTTTCTTTCAGTTGAATACGTTTTGATATAAGTATATACTTGTAAAACTATCACTGTATTCAGGTTATTGAATATACCTATTATTCCCCCAAATTTTCTTGTGCCTTCCCTCTTGTAGTTACCAGGAAACCACCAACTTGGTTTATGCTCTATAGATAAGTTTTTTTTTTTGAATTTTATACAAATGAAATAATACAATATGTACTGTTACTGTTATGTGTTTGACTATTTTCACTTGGTAAAATTATTTTGAGGGGCTGGGGAGATAGCTCAGTTCTAGAGTGTTTGCCTTGCATGCATAAGGCCCTGGGTTTAATTCTGAGCACCACAATCAATCAATCAATTGATAAATAAAAATAAAAAAAGACAGAAGTGAAATAAAAAAAATTATTTTGAGCTTCATCTACGTTTTATCAGTAGTAGTCCTTTTTATTGCTGAATAGTGTTTCACTGCATTCATAAGCCATGATTTGTCTATCTACCTGTTGATGGACATGTGGTATTGTTTTTTGCTATTACATGAAAAGCTCCTATGAATATTTGTGTACAAGTCTTTGAAGAACTGAAGCTTTATTTTTGCTTGGATAAATAGTTATAGAATGGCTAGATCATATTAGTAGATGTGTGTTTAACTTTTTAACTAATTGCCAAACTGTAGTTGAATCATTTTACATTTTAAACCAGGAATGTATGAGAGTTCTTTTTCCTCCAAATTAATGCTAGTACTTGGTATGTTCACTTTTTTGAGTTTTAGCTGTTCTAGTGTGTATAACAGTATCTCATTGTGGTTTTAGTTAGTATTTCTCTTGAATGATGATCTTTCCAGMATCTGTACAAACACTTTATACTCCTCTTTGTGGCAATAAATATACCAAAATTTGTCATTTTATCCATATTGTTCACTTGTGTCATTAATTATATTTGCAATGTTGTACAACCATATCATCATTTCTAAAACTTTCATTGCCTCAAAGTCTTGACCCATTAAGCAATAATTCTCCATTTCTCCCTTTCCCCGGTCCATGGTGACCTCTAATCTGTCTCTCTGAATTTACTTATCTAAATATTTCATGTGAGTGAAATCATACTGTGTTTGAGTTTTGTTTTATTTAGCATGTGTCCAGGGTTCATTCAGGCAGCATGTGTCAATGTCATTCTTTTTTTATGGCTGAATAATCTTCCATTGCATATGTATACTGCAATTTATGTATCTGTTTTTGTTGGTTGATTGACTCTTGGGTTGTTTTCACCTTTTGGCTATTGAATAGTCATAGGTGTATAAGTATCTGTGTTCCTGTTTTCATTTCTTTTGATTATGTACCTAGTAGTGGAAATTCTGGGTCATACGGTAATTCTTTGCTTGACTTTTTTTAAATTGTGRTAAGATTTAAATAATGTAAAACTCTCCATTTTACTTTTATTTATTTATTTATTTTTTGGTATTGGGGATTGAACCCAGGGACGCTTACTACTGAACCACATCCCCAGCCCTTTTTATTTTTTATTTTGAGACAGGGTTTTGCTAAGTTGCTTAGAGCCTCATTAAGTGCGGAGGCTGGCTTTGAACTTGGAATTCTCCTGCCTCAGCCTCCTGAGCCACTTGGATTAAAGGGGCGATTAACTATTTCTAAGTGTACAGTTCTGTGGTATTAAGTACATTATATTATGCAGCTGTCACCACTATCAATCTCCACTACTTTTTTCATTATCCCAAACTRAAATATTATACTCACTAAACAATTACTTCTCATTATTCCTCTCTCCAATTCCTTGGTAACTACTGTTCTACTTTCTATCTCTGAATTTCATTATTTTTTCTCAAAATAATAAAATTGCCATATTTATTTTGTGGTAGGGTCATGAATAGAAGGTAAATATGCCACTAATATTCAGAGAATGAAAAGCTTACTCTCCTGGGATGTACATGTGTTAGTGTTTCTTTTGGACTGGGGATTGRACCCAGAGGCTCTTTACCACTAAGCCACATCCTCAGCCCTATTTTTTATTTTATTTAGATACAGGGGTCTGACTGAGTTGCATAGGGCCTTCTTGCTGAGTTGCTGAGGCTGGCTTTGAACTCTTGATGCTCCTACCTCCACCTCCCAAGCCTCTGGGATTACATGTGCCACCACACTCGGCTCAGTTTGTATATGCATGTGAAATGTATGGTGGTAGTTGTTTGGGGATTGAACCCAAGAGCACTCTCTTTATTATTGAGCTACCTCCCAGCTCTTTTTCACTTTTTAAAAATTTTGAGGTCAGGATCCGCTAAGTTRTCTTGGCTGGCCTTGAACTTGTGATCCTCCTGCCTCCGCCACCAGAGTAGATGGGAATACAGGAATGTGCCACCACACCTTGCTGGCAGGAAGGATTTATGGACCATAAGCAAAGGAAATTCTTTGGGATTATAAACAGATACAAAAATATGATGCCAAGAATGACATGTATTGCAGCAATCAGCCTGTTTTTAGTTCTTTTTTTTTTTTTTTTACTTGTCAATGGACCTTTATTTTATTTATTTACATGTGGTGCCTCACACATGCCAGGCAAGCACTCTACTACTGAGCTACAACTCCAGCCCAATGTTTTGACCATATTAAAGAATATGGTGAGGTTATTCCCTATCATAGTTTGAACCTTTAATAAGATTATAATGTAGCAGTGTAAGGAGAACAACAAATAAATCATCATAATAAAGTGTTGTAAATAAAATGAAGGGGAAATCATGAGACAAACTCATTAAATTTGATTTATAAATACTGGATATATATATATAAATTAATGGTGTTTTTATAATCAAAATCTAATTCTTCTACCTCTTTAGCGCTGGCTGACAGAGCAGAGAGCTCAGTGTCCTCATTGTCGGTAAGTACTTGCTACAATCATTTGTGAATCCTAAAAAAGAGTAAGATTACAGGGTTAAGGTGTGCCTCAGGATTCATAAAGGCAAAATTTTCTTTGCAATTTACTGTACTTCTCATTAATATGCTTGAAGAGAAAATAAGTATTATGTCTAAAAAGAAATGAAACACTAATTTCCCTGACTTAAGATTATGTAGGATGTATTACATTACTTGGCATGTTGTACCCCTGCCTCTCATAGAAAATTATCATGTGACCTCTTAGCTATTTATAATTTAAATAAAAGTTTACATATTTTTGGCTTAAAAATATTCACGATAAATATTAATATGAAAAGGTTTTAGGTTCTAGTGGGGTATCATGGCACATATGTATAATCCTAGCAACTTGAGAGGCTAAGTCAGGAGGATGACAAATTTGAGGCCAGCCTCAGCAATTCGGTGATATCCTGTCTCCATCTGGGACCCCCTCTACACAAAAATGGGGGAAAAAAAGGACTGGAGATGTAACTAAAAAATAGCCCACCCCTGGGTTCAACCCCATTCTGGGTGGGGGRAAGTCTTCTGGTTGTACTGTTTTAAATCCTATGTTTTCACAAAATACTTTCAGAAGAAATTGTTATGTGTAGTATCTATTTTTTTTCTTCTTTGTAGTGTTAGGGATTGAACCCAGTGGCACTCTACCATTGGGCTACATTTCTAGTTATTTTTGTGGTGGCAGGGTGAAGGGGGGGTGGCACTGAGGATTTCAGGTGTACTTGGCCACATCCCARCCCTTTTTTGTATTTATTAGAGACAGGTTCTGCTGAGTTGCTTAGGGACTTGATAAATTCTTGGGGCTGGCTTTGAACTTGTGATCCTCCTGCCTCTGCCTGTTGAGCTGCTGGGATTACAAGTGCGCCCCAGGTAGTTTTTATTTTGAGACAGGCTGTCCCTAAATTGTAGAGGCTAGGCCTCTTGAGTAGCTGGGATTGTAAATGTGTACCAACATACCTGGTATGGTATCTGTTTTTCTACACACTTTTTTTTGTGTATACTGATAACATACCCTTATGCTTTTTGTTAAACTACACAGATACAATACTGTTAATAAAAATGGTAGATATCTTTTCTTGATTGTATGTATGTATATATATGTGTGTGTGTGTGTGTGTGTGTGTGTGTCATTTTTTTAAAAAGCTTGAGTAAACACAGTGGCACATACCTGTAATCCCAGCAACTTGAGAGGCTGAGCCAGGAGGATCACAAATTTGAGGCCTGCCTCAACAACTTAGTGAGGCCCTGAACAACTTAGCAAGACCCTGTCTCAAAATAAAAAAATAAAAAGGCTGCAGATGTGACTCAGTGGTTAAGTGCCTCTGGGTTCAATCTCTGGTACCCCTCACCAAAAGACACAAAAATGTTTGAATAATATTTCCCTCTGTAACTATGTAGTTTTATTTATTTATGCCCATATTGAGAAATATTTAATTTGTTTCAACTTCTGGTTATTTCAAATAATGGTGGCAGAGTGCCATCTTTTGCCCTTGTTTACTCCAGGATTATTTACTTTTCTCACATGAGTTTGTGAGAAAACCAGCACTATTAAATGAAACGTCCTGTGATGATGGAAATGTTCTCTATTTACACTATTCAATATGGTAGCTTCATGTGGCTCTTGAGCACTTGAAATGTGTCTTGTTTGTGTAATGAAACTTTATTCTTGTTTTTAATTTTTTTTTTTTTAGTTGTAGGTGGACACGATAACCTTTATTTTTATGTGGTGCTGAGGATTGAACTAGTGCTTCATGAGTGCTAAGCGAGCGCTCTACCATTGAGCCACAACCCTAGCCCATGACATTTTATTCTTTAAAAATTTAAGTAAGATAGTCACATGTGACTAGTGGCTATCATTTTTTGTTTTATATCGGTGGTGGTGCAGATCAAATCCAGGGTCTCGCACATGCTGTCACATGCATTGTACCATTAAGCTCTACCATCAAACAGTATTCCCTGTGGCTGTCATTTTGGACTGTACAACTTTAGACTAAGGAGTTGAAAATTCAGTTCATAATCTGAATTATCAGTATTTTTTGTTTTTAATATATGTTGTATTAATGTGAATATAAGTTGAAAGCATTTTTTCATTGTCTTTAATAGTTTAATAGTATTGTGGTATGAGTGTGATTGTGAGCTCTGTTTTGAGGAATGTGTTTATTTCAGAAAATAATCTCATTTTTCTCAGAATATGTGTATGGATTTTCTCTGCAGTGCTCCTCTCCAGCTTCGAGAACTAGTAAATTGTCGTTGGGCTGAAGAAGTTACACAACAGCTTGATACTCTTCAGCTCTGCAGTCTCACCAAACATGAAGAAAATGAAAAAGACAAGTATATTCTCAGTTTTCTTGTTCAGTATCTAATAGATTTTGCCATGTACTATTTTTTTAAATTTTTATTTTTTAGTTGTAGATGGACACAATATCTTTATTTTATTTATTTATTTTTATGTGGTGCTGAGGATCGAACCCAGGGCCTCGCACACGTGAGGCGAGCGCTCTACTGCTGAGCCATAACCCCAGCCTCTCCATGTACTATTTTAATGACACGGTTTTTACTTTTTTGTTTGTTTGTTTGTGTGTGTTGCTGGGGATTGAACTTGGGGCCTTTGTGTGTCAAGAAGCACACACTCTGCCACTAAACTGAACCCTAATGATATATTAATATTTCACTGTTAATCATTTATAATTGAGAAATTTAGCATTTCTTAATTTTCTAATGCTTTCATTTTTCTGAAGGTATTTAAAACGATTCATTCTTTCTTTGGTTTTGGTACTGGATATTGAACCTAGAGCCTTGTGCATACTGGGCAAACACTCTACCACTGTTCTTCGGCTCTTATTTTGTGATAGGGTCTTGCTAATTTACCCATGCTGGCTTCAAACTTGCCATCCTTCTAGTTTAGCTTAGCAAGTAGTTGGGATTGTATGCACTTACTACCATGCCCAGCTGAGAAATGATTCATGCTTATTATGTTTTTTTTTTTAATTTTTTAGTTGTAAATGGACACAATGCCTTTATTTAATTTATTTTTTATGTGGTGCTGAGGATCAAACCCAGCACCTTGCACGTGCTAGACGAGTGCTGTACCGCTGAGTCACAACCCCAACCCCTTATGTTGTTTTTTTTAAACATTTATTTCATGCTATGTATACTTACGTATGTAGGTACTAGATTATGGGGATACAAATGCAAATGATACATGATTTCTGTTTAACTATTTAATGGAACAGAACAGAACTATAATATAGTGATAAGTTGTTGGAGACTGCCGTGGGAGCAGAAACTTTGAGGGACAAGAATGGTCTTTTGGTACATGATTAACTATTTTGATCATATTTTCAGGGATATGAGGAACAGAAAATGAGAAGAAAGACCTAGTAATATAGCAGTAATCTGTTTTATAGATTAAGAAACTATATAGTTAATTGGAAGGCAATTAATAATAACTTAAATTAGCAGAGATTCCAGTAATGTTGAATGTTTAAAAATAAAGTGCTTGCGTCAGCAGCATGTATACTTAAAATTGAAAGGATACAGAGAAGATGAGCACAGGATGATATGCAAATTCATGAAGCATTCCATATTAAAAATAAAGACATGTTTCTTTCTATAGATGCATTGGGGGGGGGGTGACGAATAACTTGTGTACATTGATACAGCAGGAATGGGAGCCGTATATTGTAGGACAACAGAGCTATTTATACATTTTGCACAGCTTATCTTAATTAGCATAAACTAGATACATCAGTCAACTAATAAGGAATCTCCACACTTAATGGCTCACTTTTGTTACTTTTCAAACCACTCCCTCTGACATTTTGCCAGGCACCACCCAGACTTGTTTACGAACTCTAACATTTCTCTGGCAAAATACCAGGTGTTA